ATTGTTCAAATCCCTTCACATACATTTAAGCAAATTTGCTTGGCATTTGCAGGCGGGTTATAGCCCAAAATACCTTGAAAGGGCTGGTTACTGTTGAGGGTGGGGCACTCATTTCCAGACGGGCCATACTGTATTGGGCCAGTCAACTGCTACTCAGACAACCGGATGAGAGGGAAGCAAGGCAGACGGAAAGCAAAGAGCATCCAGGGCTAGGCTGTGATGCACTCACAAGTTGCCAACACAAAGGAAATGAGCCTCTCACCTCCTGGGCTTTGGGACCCATTTGCCCTCAGCTCAGGTAGCAACATAGGAGAACAAATTTTACAAGACTGGCCGTTCATGGAGCTCAAGGCATTTTCCAAAGAACGGGGTGACTGGGACAGAGCCCTTTACACTCCCAGGCCGGTCAGTGGAAGCCCCAGCTCCAGAATGACAGGCCTGGGCTCCGTGCGCTAGACTGAACTATGCAGGCGAGAAGTCTAGAGGAACGCTTCACTGGAGGTGTTTGTTTGGGTGATACTGCAAGCAAAGGGTGCATCAGCCGTCTCCGCAACAGCTGGACCATTGCTGACATCTTGCAGGGTCTTGCTGGCAACAAAAAAAAGTGCTAGAAATTAGATGACTTCTCAATACCCCTAACGCAGACTTCTCCCTCTCTGCCTGCTTTCATCTTAATGGTGCCCCCTTTGGGTTTCATGTGCAGAAGAGGCTAATTCTACAGATACCCAGACTCACTGGATGGTTGCTCAGAGGCAGCTGATGTCAGTTGTTCAAATTAGCAGCAGTTTAGCTTGCTGGAGCCACGGGTGAGGCTGTGTCAATCGTTTAGGAAGGCATTTTAGTGCCGTATTCTAATAGTTATCCAACCCAACTAGAGGGGCCAGGGCCTGTAAAGAACAGCGTGGGGCCTGGAGCAGCCCAGGCTAAGACCTTCGGCAGAAGCACTTCACCGCAGACCAGCTGTTCCATGGACAGCTTTCAGCTAAGAAAGCAGCAGACATTATTTCTGATTGAGGAGCTCTCACAGTTGGGACAAGCCCCAGATCATTAAAAAGGTGGTCACTGACAGCATGATACTGCCAGCAATGCAGCACCAGCTCTGAGGCCATCTTAAAACCCCCCCTACCAGGCCCACTGACACCAAAGCAGTGTTGTGCTATGGTTGATATTTCAAAGAACCACTAAGAGAGGGTTCAGACTTCTCGGGTGCCCCAGCAGTAGCAGTGTCTGTAATAGCACAGTTTGCCGAGGCAAAGGGGAGCAGGCAGGGGAGATGGTTTAACCTGGACTTGAAATGCGACTGCCTAGGTGAAATGCCTCAGCGTCGCTGGCCAGGAGAGCTGAACTCTCAGGTATGCTTCACACCTTGGCAGAGAGCACTTGAGGTCACTGTGTATGGGACAGGGTTGTGGTTAGAGCAGTTTCTCAAAGCAGGGAACAACTGACATGACAAGACCTACTGCTTTCCTTTCAACTGGAAATGGCAGCTAACACCCTCATTAGCAACTGGTTGGGCAACCTCTCTTACATTTCTCAAAAAGTTGAAGGAACAATTCAGCTAGAGAGAGTGTCACTCCACTGAAACGAGGAAGCCACTGACTGCTGATTCATCCTCAAGCTGCTCAGATGCTGCGTATCTGGGGTACTGTCTAACTAGGTTCAAAGAAACCTGACCTTTGCTTTAACGCTTACACGTAGTCAAGGTTCTTTCAGTCACTTTCTGAATGATAAACATGCAGAATAAAAGAGCAATGCTACTTTAAGAACCAACTGCAATAAGGCTTGGCCCTTTAAGAACCTGAGTTTCAAAAACCACGTACTCATGCTGATAAAAAGATTCAGTTGTAGATAAAGGTGTGTTCTGCGGCTGGCCAGCTCCTGACCAGACACTAAGCAAATGACGTAACTGGACGGCTAAAAACCTGCTTGGAATGCAGCACGGATAAGCACTCCGTGTTTAGACTGCATGCACCAGTAAGCCTGTTCCCAACTGTTGGCTCCATCCCACCTGCTTTGGTACCTGAAATACGGTGCGGGCACCCATGCAAAGTGCAGCTGAGGAAGCAACGTGTGCATGGCTGCCTCCTGACCTGACATTTTCAGAAGTCTAAACCGAGTTGAACATGGGCACCCAATTCCTTCTGGCTCCTCTGCAAACTATCTGCCGATGCTGTAACATCCTCTCTCTCCATGAGAAGTTGGGCAAAAGCCTTCGACAAACCTTTTTTAAATGGACACTGTGACGAGCAAGCAGCAGGTATAGCGCATAAAAGGGCAAGGAAGAGGCTGCTGACCACTGGGATGCTCCGACTCCTCAATGAAAAAAGTGCGCTGCAGTGGTCTCACAGGCACTTGGCAGTGCCTCATTTAAGATGAGCCTGCAAAAGCATATGCAAATAATTGCGTGCTATTTGTTCTGGGTGTGCCATTAGCCTCTCCCCTACAGAAAGTGTTTCTCCCACGCCAGTAATCGCTGAAGAGATGACAGGAAACCTTTGCCAAAGTCCCAGTAATTCAAACCCATATCTCAGCCAGTCTGTTTTCAATGAGGAGTTGGAGCTTAAAGGAGAAAACAGTGGCTTGGGGAAGTGAGAGAAAAGGGGGGGCGGGGGGAGAAAAGGAGGGAGAGATAAAAACTAAATATTAGAAGTTACAGAACAGTATTTGTAATTGCACAGAAGTCTTCCCAATTCTCTCCTATGTGAAGGAATTTAACCTATCATTTACTGCTTTGAAGAGGTACTTTTAATTAGATGCTTCCAGGGAAACCTCTGACAAACACGCCAGCCACTGTCATCTCTCTGCATCATAAACACGTCCAATTGCACCTGTTGATCTGGGGGATGCCCAACTGCTACGTGTGCGCGCGCACAGAGGGAGCCTGGTTTGTGACCAGATGTAAAAAGAAGCTGGCTCAATATGTACAGTCCACTATGAAGAGTGTGACACGACCATATTTAAAAGTACTTGGACACTGTTTAAAAGTCCCCGTTAATAGAAGCTGGGCACCTGCATGAGATGTGGTGGAGCCATTTTAATCAGTTCTGCAAGGAGCAAGCCGTGACACATCAAGCCAGTTCACAGCCACCAGGAAAAGGAGGTTTCCACAGCTATATTTACTTGGCTGAGGAGGATACACTGGGCACATTTTTCCATTCCTGTTTTTTTTTCTAGGCTTCTCTATGCTTGTCCATCCAGTCACTTGGCCTGTTCAGGGGGGGTGGGGGGTGGCCAAAAACAAAAAAGGGGGTCTGTTGCAGTCCCATCTCTGAGCCCCTGCACTGGTAAAGGTTAAGCTGACAATATGGCAGCTTCTTGCTTCATTACCTCATATCAATCATGGACATGTGAAATTACTGAATTAGGCAGGCTGCACCCTGGGCCAGGACACTCGTAATTCTCTACAATTTTGCCATTTTCCCTTTCAAGACCCCCTAAACCAAAATGGTTGCGGCCATTGCTAGGGCTGCTGGTTGCTTAACTCCTGTGTGACCCTCAAGATTCAAGGAAAGTCTGAAGACAAAGCAGGGGAAAATGAAGGAAACTTCATCATTTGTTGGAGGCAGTAACCAAACAGTAAGAAATGTGGACTCGGTATCTGTTTCAAATGGTGTGACGTATACCAACTTTCATTACTGTAACAGAGTTCAGACTGCATTTCTCTACCCTCATCAACGCATTTAAATGCGACCAACTTCTAGCTGGCTAAATTGGTAGTCCAATACGGAACAAGCATCCATGTCACTTGAAACCTATTAAAACAATAGGAATCTTTTGCTTTTTAAAACTATCAAACCACATGTTTTCCAATGTACAGTTTAAGGCTTTGGAATTTCCTTTGAATCTGTCAAACACAGTTGTGGATCCCTCTTCTAGAACTGTTTATTAGTGAGCATCTGTGTTGTGACGGCACATTTTACAGGACAATGCGAGTAGGCCCAGTATACAGCAGTGGAACTTACTCAGCTGAAATGAAACAAAAGGAAACGCTGTGTCACCAAGATATATTTTATTTGAGTAAACATTAAGCCATCCATTTTGCAAGTCTCATTAGGTCTGCATAATCTTAATTTTTACCTTGTCCTTCCACTGCCTGATGAGATAGAAGCAGGAACAGTGACCAATCCATTCTCTAAATATCAGATAAAAAAGAGGAACTTCGGAAAGCTTTGAAATGATAGCATAGCTCTTTAGAATGGACACATACCAACATGGCTGGCCATTATTTATGTTCAGACATGGAGAAATTTGCATTTTGCTTGCCGGTTGGTTATGCTCCAGGCTCTGAAGACTATGGATGAAAGACCTTGCTAACCAGCCTGCCTGGGAAGTCATCAGAAGACGGTCACACACTGAGAGACAAAGACCTTGCGACACATTCTTGATTATACAAGCCCTTCACCTCACTTGGGTTACATAAATGGGCACCCAGGCAGGTGTTGATTACACTTTCTCACATCTCAGGGCCCTTTCTGCTGCCAGGGTGGTGCAGAGACTTTAGTGTAAATGGAACTAAAACTTCAGAGATGTTATATCTGGAAAAGCCAAAAGGTGCCTGCAAAACAGTGCAAAAATGGCAAACCATAGTTTCCTAAAATCCAACATATCTTGGGGAAAACTGCAATAAATGCTTCCAAACTGTAGAACATACATGCAATCAGTCCAACTGCATGCGATCAATCTAATTGCCAGATTTTAAGTTTGGGTTGATTTAAACCCAGACGTGTGAAAAATCAAGCGGTTCTGAATAATTTTTTTTTTTTTTTTTTTTTAATGCAGCTGCTTGGGTTTGTTTTTAACGTT